AGCAATTTTTTTGGGCTTCGCTAAAGAAGCTCTGTATATCGATGGTAAACATTTCAAAAGGCCAGATCTCATACGCGAGAAGTTTAGAAATTTTAAAACAGTAGTCGCGTCAGTTTACCCATTTTCCCACCTACTTCTGAAACGTTTTGAAAAATTCTCCTTTTGACGCAATTTTAAACAAATGTTTCACACCAACGCAACGATTGATGCCTCGGCTGTGGACTGTAAAAAAATAACTGTAAAAAAGTTGCTTTCTTTACTGTTTGGGGTGCAATTAATTTTTTTAAACGTGACATGCAGTGGTTTGAAAACCTTCAGGTTTAGCCCAAAGTTTACCAAGTTCGTAAAAATCTAAATTCTTTATAATTCTAAAGAAATTTTGACTGTTTGGCGACCTCATCTTTGCAAATGAATGTTAAAAATTGCAAGTCGCTGCACTTTCTGGGTGAGGGGTGGAGAGATTTTAAAACCAAGCATGCAGTTGCGTCAGCTGACTGATTTTCAGACAATATTTTGCAAAGTTCTAAAAATCCTCTTTTCTGGTGATTTTAATCAAATTTTTAGTACCGACAGTTTCCGATATCGTCGATTGATGGGAAAAATAAGTTTGAAGTTGATTTCTTCACTGTTTGAGATGCACCGAATTTTTGAAACCTAGCATGCAGTTGTTTGAAAGCCTCCATTTTCAGCCCAAAAATAACAAAGTTTACAAAAATCTCATTCTCATACGATTTCGTTGAAATTTTCAGTGTTTTGCCACTGGGCCTTTGTATTTTAATCGTATAAATTCCAAGCAGCTAAACGCTCCAGATGAGGAGTTAAGAATTTTTTAAGCAAAGCATGCAGCTGTGTCAAGTCGCATATTTTCAGATCTGTTTTTGCAACGCTTTTAAAAAAACCGACTTTAAAAGAAATTTCAATTGAACTTTTGGCAAGTACAGGTTAAAGTATGTTGGATGGAGTTTAGAAAGTTCCAGTTGCTGTCTTTAACATTTTGAGTTTAGCGAATTTTCAAAACGCGGGATGCAGTTGCAAGAAAACCGTAATTTTCGGAGCAACATTTACAAATTTATCAAAATTCCGGTTTCCAAGCGGTTTTATTGAATTTTTCGCGGTTTAACGACTGGATATGTGCATATTGATGCTAAAAATTGGAAGCCTGTCAACCTTTTAGGTGCGAAGTTATTAATTTTTAAATTTTTAAATCCAAGGGCTTATTTGAGTCTAGTTCATTTTCAGACCGGTTTTTGCCACGTTTGGAACCACTCAGTTTTGAGCTAATTTTAATTAATTTGTTGGCAAATGCAGCTTAAAGTATGTGCTAGAGATGACTGAAAGTTCAAGTTGCTATCTTTACCATTTTGAGCAAAAACAGTTTTGAAATCGCTGACTGTCGTTGAATGAAAACCATAATTTTCAAACCAATTTAAGTTAGCAATATTAGGATTCCTCGGTGCAATTTTAATGAAATTTTCAACATTTAGCGTATACGTCTTTGTCAGTTGCTGGTAAAATTGCCAAAAAGTCGATTCATCTGCCACGGGAGGAGTTAAAAAATTTTAAAGCAAAGTTTGTTCAACGTTCTCAGTCTCTGACCAGTTTTTACGTTCTGAAAAACTCAATTAGGGGGGCGATTTGAATGAAATTTTCTGAGAATTCAGACTAACATACATGCTGGTCGAGGGTTCAAATCGCAACTGGTTACTTCTGGTTGGTTCTGAGCAATAATTTTTTACGGCAAGCGAGTCCCTACAAACACTGTCTAATGCAGCCGGTGTTTGTTTAAGAAACTGTTCATTCACTGGGTTAGTTACGAGTAAGCGCAAATATTTACGCTAAGGATTGCATGGGAAAGTGTCTACTTTCGGGTAAAACTCACGTCTGTTTGCTTACCAAGTAAATAACAGATGGAAACAATAACACCTGCGATAAAATCCTGTAACTTCGTCATTACTCTTGTCTCGAAGGACCGAAAAGCGATCTCGTCCAGAGGCACATTCTACTGAAAAAGCACTGAGCGAATCCGCTTAGAGTGATAAACGCCACTCGGCTCTATCCAGAGACTTTCTACCGGTTTCCCTGCGGAGCCCACAAGATCCACGCGGTCCAGATTCTGCAATGCCTGGATGCCCTGTTTCCAGGAAACGCGCTTGCGTATATCCCTAATTCGATTATTGGTAATAGCCTATAATCAGGAAGGGCTATCGATAATATTTAAACTGGCTCTGGCTCTTTTTATTAAGAGTTGTTGCAGTTTTTTCCCTTCCAGATCTATGCGTTTCACCTCCGTGCATGGAACGCTTGTCTGGAATTTTAAAGCGCTCGTTTATATTTGATACGTTTTCGGTTGCACAATTTCCAGATAAATCACGATTTATCTTCCAAACGATGGAAACATTTTCCTTTGCTCTATATAAGAAGTGCCCGATTATGAGTCAGGAAATTGTGGAAAGGTCAGAGGCGATAAAACACCCTACAACAGCACACCATTTGTCTGCCTACCAGAGTGGTCGATTTCATGGGCTTTTGGTTCTGTTGAAATAAATGACTTGTTCATCGGAATTGATTAGTTAATTTTCTACTCTTTTTCCTGCTTTGAACCTTTTCCTGTTGTTAACAAGAACAATCCAGTCTTCTGCGTTTCATTCTGTTTGATTTCATATTTTTACACGGCTGTATTTTACTAAAAAGAAATTAATATGATTGCAACTTTTTCTTTATTAATATGCTTGTTTCTGGAAAATGCCGAGCCAATTTGCTGTCCATCATACGCCGTAAAGCAGCTCGCTTTGGACATAAAAGATTAATTTTTATTTGCTAAATGGCATTGCTGCAAACGACTTTCGATGTATTGAAACAGTCGAATGCTTAGTTTATTTTTCCACAGTCTGGGCATTTTCCAAAAGTGACAATTCCATTTTATGTATCGCAATAGAAATCGAATTTTCAGGCGAATAAGCAGAGCGCGCGGTTTGGTGGAAACCGTCATTTGCAGATCAGTATTTGTTAAGTTCATAAAAATCCAGTTTGGTTGCGATTTAAATGATATTTTCCAAGCCTTGAGCTCTAAGTCTGGTCTATGGGTGGTATAAATGTTAAATCGCTACCTGCTGTGACTTGGGCTGTAGGAATTTTTAAACCAGAGCGTGCAGTTGCGAGGAAACTTTCATTTGAAGCTCTAAATTCCGAAAAATCTCTAAAAAATTTTATGGAAATTCTCGGAATACTTATGTTGAAATATTGCCTTTTGGTGGTCCAAATGTGAAGTCGCTACTTGTTCCACGTTAAAAGTCAAGAATTTTTAAAGCAAAGCGTGCAGTTGCATGAAAACTTTCATTTGCAACCTTAACTTCCGAAAATTTTCTAAATTCAAATTTGTAAACATTTTCGGATGATTTATCTTAAAATGTTTTCTACCGATAGAAAAAAATGTAAGTCCGTGCTCGATCTTAAACAGTACGAATTTTTAAAGTAGCGCGTGCAGCAGAACTTCGTTAGCAGAACAGAATGAACTAAATTTGCAAAATTGTAATTTGTCTGGTATTTTGATGCAATTTTCAGAGAATTTAGACTAAATTGTTCTCTATATATGGTAAACATTTATGTCGCGACCTGGTCTACGTGAAAACACGCGAACTTTTATACAGCGCGTGCAACTGATTAAACCCCTTGATTTTTGAAGCAGAATCTAAAAAATTGCCAAAAGTCAAATTTGCACGAGATTTCATTAAAATTCATAGCCATTTTTCGTTAAAATGTTTCCTATTGGTGCAAAAGATTCCAAGTTGCTTGCTGCTTTTTCATGAAAGATACGAATTTTTATGGCGAAGTGGGCAGTTGCGAGGGAGCCTTAATTTGCAGATCAGAATTTACGAAACTGACAAAATTTGCACAGACTTTTAATGGAATTTTTAGTGGATTTTCATTAAAATATGCGCTATGGATGGTAAAAATTTCTAGTAACTACCTGCATTGCGCTAAACGGTACGCATTTTTAAACTAGAATGTGCGGTTTTTTAACCGATTTTTTTTCAGAAGAATTTATCTGGTGTTTTTCTCAAGGTTTCTCTGGGGTTTTATTGTAATTTTTCGCAGTTTTATTTTTAGCTAATTGGTGTTAAAAATATCAAAGTGCTGACTGCTCTGTTTTAGTAGAAACGAATTTTTTAGCAGACTGCGGAGTACTTTTTAGCAGACTGGGGAACCTTCATTTGCAGATCAAAATTTACAAAATTTAAATTTGCGTGGAATTTTGTTGAAACTTTAAAACTTTTTATAGTCAAATATTTGCTATCGATCGTAAAATTTCTAGTGGCTGCCAGCTGAATGCTACAGAGTGCGAGTTTTTAAACTGGAGCGTGCAAATGCAGCGATTTAAAACCCTTCATTTCTAGAGGAAAACTTTAAACCTTGGCAAAACTGACGCTTGTCCGGGATTTGATTACGATTTTTAAACATACATATGTTCTATGAATTTCGAGTTTCTGGCTGTTTTATTTTAGGAGTTATACCTTCATTAGCCGACGAGAATTTTCAATTTTACCAAACAATTTTATTGAAATTTTCAAGCTCGTAGACTGAAACATTGTCTACGAATGAGATCAACTTAAGTCGCTTCTTTTGCTGTGTTAAAAGCTACTGATTTTTAAAATAGAGCGTGCAACCACGTTAATTAAACCCGTCGTTTTTCGGTATGTTCATGGCATGATTTCTGCAAAACAACCAAATTTGAGTCGTCCGATTGTAAACAAGTAAAAGTGAAATAAACGCCTTGCCAGTGAGTGGGTAGCAAGTAATGAAAGAAAAATCGCAAATATACATTCCAAAATCAAATTGAGCTGTTATTCAACGCAAGGTAGAAAAAAACACCGTCCAATTAACCCAAATTTAGTTAGAACAAGGTTCTTATAAAAATTTCTTAACTACGACATAGCAAAATTGGGCAAAGTTCGGCATAAGGAGCATTCGATCGAACATCGATCAGTCGTTTTCAATAACCACAAGTGTAGCAAAACCGTAACGAAGAAATTAGCAACACATTTATAACACTTTCACTTTTGATTTTGAGTACGTGTGCTCGTACCCAAGCCTTGATTGTTTTACTGGAAGGGTTAGAATTCGTGAGAAAACCCGGATAATACTTAATCTTATGTCTTATTTAAATCGCTGTTTAGTTTAGCGTACGCAAGTGTTGGCACCATGGTTTGGCTACCTCCGGATCTTTCGCAGTCTTGTACCTATCAATCGACCATAACCACTTGCCAACCATCTACCATCGTATTTTTGCAATTAATTGCTCAAATTTTCGGCTATTCGAAGGATGAGAAACTTTCCAAGCAATTTGGTGGCGGGTTTCAGCTCTTTAGTGAAGGATTTAACTTCTCCCCTGGACACGAAGAAGATGGGGCTCCGGCCGAAGAGTACGATTTTGTGGTGGTAGGAGCTGGAAGTGCTGGATGTGTAGTGGCAAATCGACTCTCAGAAATACCCGAATGGAAGGTGAGTTGAAAATTATTAGAAATTCGTGTCAATTGGGGAATTAAAAATTATTAATTGGGCAACCGGCTTTTCTTTTTGCTGAGTGATTGCAACAATGGGGTCAACCACTTTCATGCAAATCTCAATATCGATTTTTTTTCTGAAAGTGTATAATTGGAAATTGCAAAATTGGTAGAAAAATACACCAAACTACTAAACATGAGTCCTCAGTGGTAAAATTTGATTGACATTATATATCTAGGTGAAAAACAAAGGATGATTCCTCAAAAGCGAAATCCACTATTGGCTTGCGGGTTTTAACATTCGATAAAGGAAGCTTCGCTGAATAACGTGTGTAAATGTGGTCATCATAGGCGCTGGGTTGAATAAGTAATTGTTATTAGTTTAGGACGCTTTTAAAGATTTGCGCGATTTGGCTGTTTTTGCACCATCGTCTTCAAAGTCCGTTCCTCAACTGAAAATACTGGCTTGAACACTTCAGAACATAAGCATCGGTGAAAACGAGGTGCGAAATTGGTTTCCTTTTTTCCCAGTGGTGAAATTACTATTAACTTAGGCACCTTTCGAACATATGGGCGACTTGGTCGGTTCTGCATCATTTTACTTTAGTGCTCAGTTTTCAGTATTTAGGCCAGATGTTGCGATTCAAGCTCTTCTAGTCAGTCAACAAAGCTTCAGAGAAAACACAATATAAAATTTGTTGCGTTTTTGCACGGGGATTAACTATTATGGATTTAGGAATCCTCAAAAAATTTAGGAGATTAGGATATTTTTGCAACATCGACTTTAAAATCCCGTTTCTAAACATGTGGACTCGATCTCGAAATACTGACTACAACATTTGGGAACAAAAGCTTCACGAAAACCGAAGTGTCAGTGTGGTTTTCTTGGTCCAAGAACTTTAATTGTTATGAGTTTAGGAAACTTGAGGACGTTTTTACACCATTTTATTTTATTGCACATCTTTCAACATTTGGGCCAGTTAATCGGATACGCGCCTCAACATGCAATAAACGAAGCTCCAGGGGGAAGATTTGGTGTAATTTTTCCAGAATTTCTGCCGGGAGATTTACTTTTATGAATTTAGAAACCCTCAAAAGATTTACGCGATTTGATCGGTTTGTCACCATCCCACTTTATTGGTGACTGCTCAGCATGTGGGCCGGATATTGGGATACGAGCTTCAAGGGTCAACGAATAAACAGTATAAAAATTGTTGGGTTCTTGCAAACCATTTAATGGTTATGCATTTTTGGACCTACCGCAGATTTGGACTATTTGGTCAATGTCACTGTATCCCGCTTTTCTCCACTTAGGGGTCAGATATCGCGACGAGAGCTCTACGAGTCAATAGAAGATCCCTCACAAAAGTTTTCTGCGAAAGTTAGTTAAGTTTGGGCAAGTGGTTCAAATGTTATGAGTTTAGGAACGGCCGTAACAATTTTCTGCAAATTTTCCTACCCCATCTTGTCTTAATGCCCAGTCCTCAAGTTCTAGGTTAGATATCAAAGCACGGGTTTCAACAGTCGGCAAAAGACACTTCAGGGAAAACTCTGGGTAAAACTAGATTCATTCAGAGAAACCATTAATTTTTAATTAGTTTAATAATTTTATCATAAAACTGCGAGCATCCCAGCAAGGAAAAAACGCACCCTTTAAAAATGCCCCTATTTTAAAGTTTAAATTAAAAGGCAAACACGTTTATATTTTAGTAAATGTATGCCGGCTAAATTTGAATAATGTTATGACTGATTGACTAGACAATTACTTCCTGCCAAGCTTCACTTGCTCCGCGATCCGCTATTCTACATGCGTTTTTGCAGTAGTTTGCTTGCAGCTTTTTTAATTATTTCCCCAGTTTTTGTGTGGTTTTTCTGGATTTTCATGCTGGGAGCGATTCAATTTTCAATTTGTTTGCAAATAATTGTACTTTTTCCATTCGCTAAATAATTCACTGGTATCGCCAATATTTGCAGCTTTTTCCAGTGGAAATCGTGCCGGATTCAGCATTTAATTAAATTTTAATCAATGTATTAAATATTAACAAAATGGTTAAATTTATTTAGGATTTTCCGTTATTAAATGGCAATTAAATCGCGTCCAGTTCAAACCATTCCCAATTCAGCAGCGGAAATGCAATCAGGATTTAGTGAGCATATTGGCGAGTTTTTTCACCGACATCAGTTTTCCTCGAAAATATAATTGTTATTTGAATCGAAAATTTCAGCAAACAATAAGTGAATATTCGGGTTATTTCTGACATTAAAAGCCTGCAATTGATGGGACTTGAACTTTAAAACCGCGGTTCGATGGATGCCAGTAATGGTTATGCTCATTCATAAATCGCTTCGGCTGCTGAATAAAATCAATGAATGGAATGTGCGTGAATTTCTTCAGCAATGAGTGATTTGGCCGATGCCTCTGAAGGGAAACGTAAATTTTGCGAACAATTCTTGATGGAAATTATTAGAAAAGTCCCATAAGTTACTTTCAACTCGGACCCAAAGTGCGACTTTTCACTCAAGGCTCGACATGTATCAACTAAATAATCCCATTTTGAAATAACATGTATTTGCTCAAGAAAGCTTCGATTTCGGTTTCGTAATGTCCAATACAACAATAAATTCTCCCTTTCACTAGCCGAGACAATAAAGTGCACATTTTTCCTGTCCTGCTACAGTTAACCTGGTTTCATTCAAATGTCTGTTTTCATTACTTTCGATATAAACATAGTGCGTTTTTTCACTTCGACTTTTTTAATTGAATTATTAATGTGTCTAGTTCACAGAATGGGGTGTCAGGATCATAAAATGCCGGCTTTATGGCTACTTAGCATTGATTTAAGTGCATTACTTGTGGAAATATTGCATGCAAGTCTGAATATGTAACGTATAAAACTGAGGTGAGTTTTTCGGGGATTAAGTTCAATTTTGGCGGCCTACGTTTTGGAACCACTACTGACCTGAATCTTCAGAGGTGGTTTGTGTTGTGCATCCACCATGCCTGCAGCAGTATTTGGTTAAATCCAAAGCCCTGAATATTAAAAATCACTCGCGCTATTAAAACTCCTTGAGGTTTAAAAACGTAATTTTTTTTCCCAATTTAATCCACTTTGAAATCCCCAAACTGGCTCTTCTTACTTGGAGAATGTCCTTAATTGTCGAAAAACATTGCGCAAATAAACGCGTATAACCGGCGATTTAGCGCTTGTAGGCCTGCCAGTTTGGGGACATTTACATTGCGCTGTCGAAAATCGGGCCTACGATACGCGCAACTACCGGCTAATCCRGAAACTTTTACTAGCGGCTTTTGAAATGCGAATTGTATTTGATATTTCAAACTGCGCTAAGCTCGGTGTTTGTAACTATGGGATGAAAAGAGTGARAAACTGTTGAGTTTTTCAGGATTTTAGGAAYGGCAGGATTTCAGKATTTTAGGTGGTCAATGTTTTCTGGACGTTTCGACGTGTAACTTGAATCTTCAGAGTGGTCCAGCGTCGTACAGCGGATTCCCTACAGTTYTACATGCGTTTTAGCCAAACGATTTGCATATKTATATCGCACTTTTCTGGGTAATCAGGAATTTTTGGTCACGGATGTTTAATTCGCYTTTAATGACCCACTCCGACCCTGTACCAAATCGGGCAAAAATCCCCACACACCCACGTTTGTCGATTTCAAATTTGCATCTAGTTTCCCATAAAGACTGGTTGGAGGTAATTGTATATATTATTTTGTAGCCTACATACATATTATGTATAGTAAATTAACTGAACAGTCAGCTGAATGCTTTTTAATGTAGATTAATGCATTTTTTTCCTTGGTGTTAAAACTATAATAAGCGATTTTATAGCAGTTGCAGAAGCTTAAGAAAATTGTGAAATTAAGCCCAAGACAGTTGATTTTGCCATCAACTGAATTTAACTAACGAAGGAATAAATGTCCATTTTTTTTCTAATTATTAATAAGAGTATGTTCCGTGATAGATAAAATCAACTATCCACTGTATTAAAAACCTTCTAGATTTTTTTGCATCAAATGTGATAGGAAAAAACCATACACACCTCTAGGTATTACAACAATCAATTACTGTGCTTTTATTAATTAAACTTTTTTAATTAGGGACATTTTTACTTGTTGTTTAATCATGTCAGTCTATACGACCTTCTTAGGCGTCCTCAGTCAAGACTCACTCAGCATTTAAGCGTTGACCGCTAGACAGAAAAGCTGCAAATATTAGGCCCAAGTTTGAATCACCCTGTATACGAAAATTGTCTGTTAAATTCGAATCATTATCGTCATTAATCATATCTGGATTTTTGCAAATTTTTGACAGTTTTGGAGACTTTCCTTATCAATGTTCCTATCGATCGATTAAGAACATGAACCAGCAAAAGCAGGCCAGCCATTGTCAATTGCGGTAAAAATCGCACAGATTTATCAATTTTCAATGATACGGAGATTTGCCTCGATTATCCACCTTAAAAGTCAATTAAGTCAGATTCCTTTTGCGGCAATCGATTTTACCTTGATTTATTTCAACGTGCAAATCACCATTAGCCGACTTATTGCGACATTTTCCGGCGTTGTTTTACGACGAAAATTGATTGGATTGATTGGGACAGATGCTGGGAAGTTCGAATAATGCATATGTCCGAACCAGAAACAGTCAAGCACATTTTTCACCCCAGAACAGTTCGATTTTCAGACAATTATCGCGACAATTTGATGGGGTTTTCACATCAAAGYAGCGAGTTTGTTTCAACTTATATAAAAAAATKTTCTTCTWTTCGTCAGTATTTTKTTGAAGAACAAACSAAACCTSGAAATTTSTTCTGTAGTRGAAGAAAGGCTTCAGCAATAGAATCTTCTTTAGCTTCTTGGGGAAAACTGCWTATSARCATTATCAACTGGTAATTGAGCTTTTTTTGCTCAAMTTTAGCTAAAACTTTTGTAAACGTTGTATTATAGTTTTAAAACTTTTGTAACAGTTCTAAACCT